GGCTCTCCAAAAAAAAAAAAAGGGGTACAACTCAAGCTCAAATGCAGCCAACTATGCTGCAGATCAATACATCATGCGGTTTCAAAAGGAAAAGTTACTACGCACCCAGCCAGCCAGCCCTTCACAACAAAGAAATGCGACCTGAAAGGCGAAGTAAGGACATATGTTATAGAAGGATGGTGCTGGAAGAACAGAAGAAGTGCGGAAAGATGATCCTTTCAAAGTTTCCACCACGTGCCAAGTGCCATGCTCAGTCGCTCATTTGTCAAGGAGAAGGTCTTGTAGCTTACGGCACTGGCTTTCCAATTTGTGTTCTTTAAGGCTCAACGCATTTACGGCAACTCTTGCTCAAGGGTATCAGGCATACATCTTCATGCTACAAGCAACTCGTGCTCTAAAAATAGTGTGTGCTATAACTTCTTTTAAGTATCCAGCGGGAAGTCTATGCAATGTCCTAATTAGACACATGCTCAAGCCCTCTCAGCACGTTGTTGTAAGGTCAAAAACGATGTTTCCTTTGCAACCTTCAATCATTCGCAAAACATCTTTGGTAGTTGGGTCTGTCAACTCGCGATCGAACCACTCTGGCCAGCCTTTAGTGATGCTGCAAGGGTATAAGGAAAAATCAAGGGGCAGCCGGAAACATGCATTTCTTGTACACAGCACCTGGAAATAAGCGTAGCCTCCAAAGCTTACCTAGTGCCTATGATCAAGTCTTGGCAAGTGTTTCTAAGCTATGAAGGGAGTCATCCCTTCTTCAACCCATCGTGCAAAGGGAACTAGTCAATCATTCATCACAGAGGTCATTGTAACTTACTACATGAATCCCTGCAAGAATTGCCAACAAAGAATGTGCTGCAAAATAGCAAAGTATAAAGTTAGTTCTCTGTGTTAAAGCCAAGCAATTTCCACACTAGCATGCAAGCAATATAAACTTCACATGCCAAGCGAAATGCATAAACAAATTTTTTTTTGAAGCATCATACAATCTATTATTCAAGCTCATGACAAGCAAAGTTCCCTCATGCTCAATCAATCATTCCAGCATACCCTTTTTTTTGCACAAATTACAAGCATATGCTAGTAATGCATATAGTTCAACAACAATAAAAAGGGTCAAGAACGTAGCATGCGCAAAATATACCCCAAGCATGGCAAGACAAGCTCACGCGAAAGAAACGCTCAAGCAAATGCCCAAGCATCATGTAATTTACCCATGGCAAGCAAAATTCTTGCTTTATGATCGGCAAGCAATTCCCATGGCAAGCAAAATTCTTGTTTCATTATCGGCAAGCAATTCCCATGGCAAGCAAAATTCTCTCCAATAATACAAAATTCAAGCATTTCAAAACATGCATTCTGTCAGTTTCTTAACAGTCATTTTCCCGCGACATAGGAAAAAGCCCAAAGCTAATCAAGCAAGTGTTCACAGGAAGAATGCGCCTAAGTCAAACATCAGTCTATGTCTATTTCTACAAAGCCAAAAGAAAGACTCACGATTCCAGTAAAAGAGCTGAACTATTTACTGAGAAATCGAGATAGAAATCCAAATTGCCAAGTTGCGAAATCAGTACGCTAGAAGCTTCTAGCACCAGGGAATACGACGCAGGCTTCTATCACCTTTGCCTTTCCTGTGCTAGAGACGTATAAAACTACAATCATAAGAACATCGCATCATGCAAAGTTTAGCCTTTTTGCTAGCACAAAGAGGCCCAACACGCAATGAAGAAAAAATGGAAAAAAGAAAAGAATGAAATCCATACCAACGATTTCTTCTCACAACGTTCGCCAGCAGCTTGCCGAAAAGAAATCAAAATGGGGATAACCCCAAAACACTGATGCAAACCCTTCCTTGCTAACGATTACTCCGACAAGAGATGGATGGGTCGAAAGGAGTGGGCGCTTGGCTGCCAAAACAAAGAGCAAAACCTATGGGCATGAAGAACCTAACGATTTCCTCAAATATATTCAAGAAATTGCAACAAAAAATGGCATACCTTATTAATCCTCTCAAATGATAGCCTTAGATGCACCAAGAAAGAATGAATTGGGAATTTTGCAGGAAAAGTCTGCACAGAGACAATCTCATCCAGCAATAGCAAGCGGGTTTCTTCATGCGAGGAATAATGGAGTCGGATTTGGCTTGAGCTCCATTCCAATGGCTGTAAACATGCGGTTCTTCTTGATTTCACTCACTCTTTCTCTCTCACTCTGAGTTCGTTGAAGGAAGAAATAATAAATGAAAAATGAGGAAGTGGGTATCTGGGAAACCACAAAGGAGCTTATGAAATTGATTTTTGGGTCGGGCTTAATTATTCGGCCCATTCAAGCACTTATCCATGGCCCTAATAATTAAGGGGCTAATGTTGAGGCCCAAAAATCCAGGGTTGGGCCCAAATAAATTCTCGGCCCAACATAATGCCTTATTAAGAAAAAGACTCGGTTCGGAGCATGCAACATTCCCCATTCATACTTGCACAAGCTACGACCACATGCCATGCCAAATAAATATGCAATCTCTCATGCTAAGAGTTGAAATAAGCACCAACTCTACGAGCCCATGCTAATGACCTCGTCAAGCATCATGCCTCTATTCAAGGACGATAAAATTAAAACACACCGATTGACATGTCATGCTAAGCAGAAAATTATTATTTCACACCTAACCACGCTACAAGCTTAAGTGGGCCCAAGCCACGCAAATGTTTGGGGCTTACTTGAGTGGGTTGTGGTATGGATGGTAACAAGCTTTCATGAAGCCCATTGATGAGCCAAGAAATGGAAGTTTTTGGCTGCTTGGGAGCCCCAAAACTCAAGCTCATTTCTTGAGTCCAAACACATGGGCTAGCATGAGAGAGAGAACATGACCCAATGCCTTAGAGAATACAGTAGTTTGCTTAGGAAACCCTATGTTAGTTAGAGCATCCAAATACTTTGTTAAAAATGCAACAGGCAAACTGCTTCCAGCAGCTTGACGAAAACCTGTCAAACGATAGAAGTAACAAGCTAAAGACCCAACATTGTATAAGCCTAGCCCAAAGCCTTATGAAAAGCCTGGCGTCGTGCTCCATTCTGATTAGGACTCCAAGACAGTCAAACAAGGAGCCATGACAGGAACCAACAGATATCCGTGCATGAAGGACAAGTACCCATCGGACAAAGAACTCCCTTTATCTTTCCTTTCCTCTGCAAGCTCCATCTTGAAAACCCATAAGGAAAGCAGGTGGCGCCTCCCCCCTTATGGGAAGGTCCAGCTGTGTCAAACTCTTGGAACCACAAAGGGTTCCTTACCCATGCTCCTTGGATGGGAGAAACTCACCAAAGAAGATAAAGTGGAAATGAGCAATGAAAAAGGGGAGGAAAATTTAAGACGAAATTAGGATTCTTTGTGGCTATAAAAGAGAGCCTCAGCTACCCAAAAAAAAAAACTCATCCAAGGCCTGACCACGCTTTGTCAAGCAAATTGGAAATTTTACTCAAGCCACCCAATTCTCTTCTTCGCTTATTCTCTTCCCCCATTAAGAAAGAAATCTGTCTAATCTTCCTCTGTTCCACTTTAACCCTTTGTTCACTGTAAGAAACTCACGCTTATCTCTCTCTGTTCATGCTAAACTCATGATGGTTTTGCTCCCATGCCACAAGCTCCTCATGCTAAGCCATTAATCAATCTATCATGTTTATTTAGCTATTGGTGAAAAGAACCTGATAGTGTTTTTCTAGAGTCTCATCAAGCTCTTCAAAAACTCTTTTGGAAGCCTGGTCTCTGAACTCTGATACTAGGGGAATTTCTGTTTTTTTTTCTTCTTACAGCAGCCTAAGCCCATTTGTCAGGCTGCTGGAACAAAAAGACTCCCCACAAATACCATCCTCGCCCCTCTCCAAACACCATACCCAAAAAATTTCCCATACCCAACCTATTAGGGTCGAATCCCTGCCATTATCCGCAGGAAAAATTGTCATCCCTAAACATATGTCAGGCATAGTCAGGAACAGAGTTGTGTTAAGGCCAGGGATGGCCTTGGCCCCACATTTACTTAACCCCTTTTTTAAAAACTTTTATTTAACTCCTTTGAATGTATATATATATAGGGTGTTGTAACAAATGTAAAGAAAAATTGCTATGCTTAAGCCTATGGACCCCTTACCACAAATCAATACTTGTCAAAATTGTATTCTAATATGAATATAGTAGTAAAATCATACTACATTTATGAAAGAAAACCACTCATTTCAATTTGGTACATTTGTTGGTAATAGTTTACTCAATAGGCCAATAAAAACATATGACTAAACTTTGTGTTGAAGTTTTGGCCCCCCAAAGTATAAAATTCTAGTTCCGTCCCTGGGCATGATGTGATTGACTTAGAAGGATTGACAATGTGTGTAATTCTGAGATTTTTCAATTATATTATTGTAAATTATATCTTATTTTTTAGGCATGGAAATTAGGTTACTATTTACCACAACAATAAATTCCCTATTGAGTTTAAACCAAACCTCCCAAAAATTTAAGGGAGTTTCACTAAAACACCCAAAATAGTGGCTGAAATTATAAAAAAACCCAACACCCAAAACACTTTATAAACACACCCAAAACCCATTATTACACACACTCAAAACTCATTTATAAACACACCCAAAAAATATACAATTGTTGATTTTGGGTGTGTTTTTATGTTTAAATAGTACTTGGGTTTTTTTATAAATACATGTTTAGGATTGAGTTTATTTATAAATTTGTAAAAATTTAATTGCAAGGTTTGGTAGGGTGAAATTGATGTTTACTTGTTGGGTCAACCTAAAAGATTTACTTGTTAGATCCAATGGTGTTCTCATATAATGTTCTCACATAAGCGTTCTCACCTCATCCAAACCGAACTCTAGGCGACGTATAATTGTAGAGAATTGTAAATGGATGATGATATGGATCCTGAGTTGGGCTCTACCTCCTGTAACACCCCACAAGGCCCAACCAAAAGAAGAAAGGCATCGTGGAGTTGCCTTGTTTTGCTGGGTGACTTTCTGGGCAACCAAAGAGTAGACAGAGGCAGGCCAGTCGAGCAAAATTAACTACCGTATCTATTCCACCATCCTTCGCGGTTCTCACCGATTCTTTCCTCTAACCCTCAACTCTGCTCGCCTCTTGGCATCAAGTTTCGAATTGAAGATCCAAAATCTCAAGTTCCATGAGGCCCATACAACTTCCGGAGCCGCCCAGTCCCAAACTGGGCACGCCGGAAATCTTCGAAGGTGGCGTATACGGCGTCGTTAGGCGCGCCGTTGTGATTGGCAACGGCTTCCCGGGTTCGGAGAATCAGAGCATCGGCTTGGTTCGTGCTCTCGGCCTCGCTGATAAGCATGTGTTATATGTAAGTTAATTACTTGATTTCACTTAATAACAGGTTTAATCCTTTTGTTTTCTTCACACTATGATTATAATTATGAAGATTAAACTACCCATTAACTAAATTTTCTTTAAGCGGCTGCAGTTTTAAGTTCAAGAGCATATAAACAAAGAAAAGAATGGTTGGCTTCATAGCAAAGTTACCTTTATAATTTCTATGTAGAATCATATCACTTATAAACCTAAATATGTGATTTCTAGTGCCTTAATGTACATGACATGAGGATGAGGGTGTTAGCGACTTAGCACTGAAGTATCATCCTTTGATATAACTCTAGCAAAATATCACCTTAGAGCTAAATTTTAGACATATAACATTAAACTAGTTTAGTTAAGGTTGATTTCACTATCAGGTCCAACTAGAATTGGTATGAACCAATGTACAGTTTTCCAAAGACTGTTGTCTTTCAAGATGTATGGGATTTCCAATGGTCATTGGTAGAGGATTTTGTGGCTTTGCTTTGTTGATCACTTATTTCTCAGTTGTGAAAAGAATACTTAATATGAACGATTAGGTGGTCTTTGATATATTGGTGTCTTCATCGAAGATGGTGGCCTGAGTGACCTGAGTGACCACCACATTGTTATTGCTTGTTACAGTCCCTTACTTGCAGTAAAGAAATTATTGCTTCCAATATGTGTTTGAGGGTTCGTTTTCCCTATAAGTTTTATAGTTTAATTTTTAAACTCACGCATACATGTTAACTATACATCCCTTTGTCGTGTAAATGGCTGAACTATCAGGATTCAGATTTTTTTTTTTTTTTTTTCCCCCTTTGGTTTTTATATTATGTATGAGATTCTGCCCAAATTACATTAAGCAACAACATCGTAAAATCATGCTTTATATAAATCATGTGATTTGAGAACTACCATATTAGAACCAATCATTTTCTGGGGATATGGTCTTAACATCAGTGTTTTACCAGCCTTTCAGCTGCAGTTACTTACATGCGTACCTTTTGATTTTGTTTATCTTTTAAATTGACAATGCCATGCAGCGGGTTACAAGGCCAAAAGGAGGAATCAATGAATGGCTTCACTGGCTCCCAGTTTCTCTTCACAAGAAGTTAGATTACATCATAAGGCGGATCTGTGTTTTATTGATATATCGAGGGCAGAAAACTTTGCCTTCACCTACAGAAAATGGTGGAAGTGCGGGCTTGAAATGTGTTTTAGAAGCTGATGTCCAGCAGATTGTGACAATGGCTCGTCAGACTTTTGAAAAGTAAATTTCTTTTTTCTTGTATTTTTACAGAGTTATAAGAAGTGCTTTCTTTGATTGCTTTCCTAATTGTGTATTCAGTAAAGAAACATGGGTTAGTTGAGTGGTTAGGCCTGTGGTTTCCTCTGATGTGGTCTGGGATTCGATTCCATAAGGAACCTATCTAGCTATTTGCTTGAGTTTCCTCCCTTCAAAGAATGTAGGGTTTGGTACGGAGCCCCAGTTTCGAACTGAGTCTGTGAAGCGGGTTTGGGTGATTTCTGGGTATCCAAAGAGTGTATTTACTATTCAGGAAACAAACATGCTCAATAACCAGAATGGGTTTTGCTTCTTAAAAATTAGAATCTGGTGCTTAACTTGATCTCTGTTTCATATTTGGTACTTATTCTTTTTTTCTTCTTTTTATTTTTTATTTTTTATTTAGGGATGGACCTATATTGGTGGTAGCTTCGGGCAGGGATACCATTTCTGTTGCAAGTTCTATTAAACGACTAGCATCGGATAATGTTTTTGTTGTTCAGGTTTGTCAATGGGACCTGGCTTTATCAGTTTGCAGTTAACTATATATTCTGTTCTGAAATTACTTTGGACTATGAACCTATATTATGACATGGTTTAGTTGTAGATGCGGAGATAACGATAAATGAATATGTCAATGTTTACATTTATTGTGATGTGTTCACAATATCCTTTAACATTAATAATTTCCTACATGTTTTGCTCGAGTTTAGGTCAACTTGAGATAGTTTTTATTTTTACTCCCAAGTACAGTTTTATTTTGTGGCAAATTTTTATTGGAACAGAGTAAATGTTGTTCTTCTTTTTTAACACATAATAGCCTTGTTATTGGTTCATTATATTCCATTGGGCATTTCCTTTTCCCTTTCCCATAGTTTTCTCGGCTTTACCATGCTTCACAAGAACAGAAACAGCAGTATATATGCTCCACTAGGAGGAAAGCAAACATAGAGCAACCAAAAAAAAAAAAAAAACTCGCATTCTCAGTCGGGGAGAAGCCGTATAACCAAACTCAACACCAAATCTATCAAAAAGCTTCTTCAAGACAGCTCCCATCATTAGAACAAAATCATATCATGATATTCAACTACATATTAGAGTGAAAGGGAAAGTATGAGAGAGAGATTTAAGAAAAAAAGGTTTGGGGTCTGATGATTAACAGCCCTGTCATCTAAATAATGATTTTATATGATAACGTTATTCTGCAAAAATAGGAGATTACAATAATACCTCCAGCCTAGCATAAAATATCCACTCTAACAATGTGCCATCCTTTTTTATTTAAGACAATGCCTCTATGCTAATCCGTGGTAGTTTCTCTTTCACTTCGAATGCTTTTCCTCTTCCATCATCAATTTTTATTAGTTTATTATGGTTTTATTCATCTGTTTGGCAATGAGGACTTAGGGAGTTTGAAACTTTCATGTTTGGGAAGCCTACATAACGGTTTATGTGGTTTTATTGTTTAAAGTACACAATTTTATCTTCATTAAGTGCTAAGGTTAGAGAGATCTTTGGAGTGGGAGCCTATTGGATACAGTTATGGAATCATTTGCTGGCTTGCCAAATGACTTTTACTCTGTGACTAGGTTCATAAGTTTCAGCATCTTAACTGTGGAGATCTCTTTTGTGGCTGTGGTCATTTGTTGCCTTGTCATTGGAATACCTCAAAATGTGTTTGAGTATTTGATTGACCCACCTTTTTCCATTCGCAGATACAACATCCCAGGTTGCATCTAAATAGGTTTGACTTGGTGATTACCCCTAAACACGATTATTATCCTTTGACTCCTGAAGCACAAAAGCAGGTTCCTCAATTTATTCATAGGTGGTTAACTCCTCGTGAAGCTCCTGACAGGCATGTGGTATGTATGAAGACCTAATTATTTGCACTGCAAATTTGAGAAGCTTTAACCTTACTTAAATATCAACTGCTCCCTGCACTTTGAAGCTTTATGCTATTATAATTCCCTTCCCCTGCCCCCTCCTCCCAAAAGCTATGATAACTAAAAACTTATAAAATCAGGTCCTCACTACTGGAGCTTTACATCAAATTGACGCTACTGCACTTCGAAACGCAGCTAGTGCATGGCGTGATGAGTTTGCAACTCTTCCAAAGCCCATACTTGTGGTGAACATTGGTGGCCCTACAGGTAATCTTTTGTTATACACTGAATCTTTCTTGCTTGATGTTTTACAGGATTGGCATTTAATTATTTGACCCACTACATGATGATTGCTATTATGCTGTTTTTGAATCTAGGATCATAAAATAATCATTAAAATTAGAGCGTTTACGTGTTGTATCAGAGAACTTAATGAGATGAGGAAAGGATAATTTTTTTAATTTAAATAACTAAATAACAAGTGTTTTTTGCCGTAGGTTTTTGACCTAGACGTCTCGACAAAACTACTTAGGTTAGATTAAGCTCTTTGGAATGCTAGCAAAAAAGTTAGCGTTTGGCTGTGATGTTTTTCTTCTCTTCTAATTTTTTATTTTTCTATCAATAGCTTGTACTAATGAAAAAAGACAAGAAAAGGAGCCCAGGATACACAGAGTATATGTTACAAGTGTAGTGAATCAATGAACTTTATATTAGTACCCCTGCTACCCATATTTCTAGTATTGGATCAGTCAGAGAAGGCAAAACTTCTTTCTTTAACTGTACAACAAGATACTTGTTGTCCTAAAAACTCCATCTAGTCCTCTCCTTCCAATACCTGTTAATTTCTTAGAATTTCTTTTTAAATACCTGTTAATTTCTTTTTGCCTTTTCGTTCATCAACTAATTTGATAAGATACAGTAGTTTATAAGCTGATAGACACATAGAGTTTACAAGTCACTAATAAAACATATGTGTACTAATAAAATGCATTCCTTGACAAAGGGAGTGACTTATGTTGTGTGGCATACTATTTTCCTTTCATTTTTTACCGGCTCACTCCAAATTTATACTTCGAAGGATAATGCAAGAATTATTTTATAGCTCTCCTTTTTCTGGAATTTGTTTGAATCTCAAGTTCAAATCATTATTACCTGTTAAAGGACATTTAGGAAAGCTTAAGATGTTTTATCTTTTATGTTACAGAGATTTCCATTTCACGTATGTGATTGAAGAGTCAATACAGACCTCATTTGTTTGAGGAATATTAGATCATTCTTTTTCTTAGTGTTCTAGAATGTTTGGAATAATTTTTCTCATCCTACTTTGTTATTGTTGTTTGGAATGGTCCATTTATTCTAGTTAAGGTTTTAATTTTTTTTCCCCTTTTTAATAGGAAATTGTCGTTATGGTGCTGACCTTGCAAAGCAATTGACAACGAATCTGCATAGTGTTCTTGCAAGCTGTGGAAGCATCAGAATATGTTTCTCTAATAGGACGCCTGAAAAAGTATTGCTACAGAAAACATTTTCTTAGAAAAATTTGTATTACTATGGCTGGCACTCATTGTTTCCCTTTTGCTTGTCCACAGGTATCTAATGTCATGACAAAAGAGCTTGGAGATAACCCAAAAGTTTACATCTGGGATGGTCAAGGTATCATGTGATTTTTTTTTTTGTTTTTTTCAGGTCAAATTTATCGTTGAAATGATGTAGGGTTTTTATGTTGTACTGATATGAATGCCAGAGCCAAACCCACACATGGGCCATCTAGCCTGGGCCGATGCTTTTGTTGTCACTGCAGATTCTGTCAGTATGATAAGTGAGGTTTGCAGCACTGGGTAAGATTAAGGAAGTTACATCTGTTATTGACGATTTAGGGCATATTTTCTTTAACATTATTTTTTATTTAAGTAGATTAATTCTATCTGTCCATATTTTCAGGAAGCCTGCCTATATTATGGGAGCTGAGCGTTGTACATGGAAGTTGTCAGAGTTCCATAAATCACTCAAAGAGAGAGGAGTAGTTCGACCATTTACAGGTTCTGAGAATGTAAGTAAAAATTAATCTGTTTCTGTTACTCTTCCTATACAAGGGTCATCTGATTGTAGAAGGATGCCCTTTTTAGGATTGAATTGTTCTTTTCGTCATTTTCTGTCCACTCTGATAGACAAACTGACAGACTGTTGGGAAATAAAAGAGACAGAAAAACAAAGGGGAGAGGTGATATTGATATCCCTTCAGATCCAAGTTTTGACCCTTTTAATTGGCCCTTCCTCACCTAAAACTTCTGCCGATGATTTTTTAAACTAACATTTCTTGATGAACCCATATTTATATGAATGAAAATTCAGATGTTTTCTTCTAATTAAATGTTACTTTGTATTCAATTGTAGGTAACTATTTGTTCGTAAATGTGTTTTTTCTCTCTTTGGATGGGTTCTGTTTTTTTCTTTTATAGTTTCATGAGGTTTATGGGCCATTATAGTGTTATAAGGTTCTTACTCTTCTAGTTTTCTTGGTGGCACCACAAATGTGTACATTTTAGTTTGCTTATAATGATAAGTTAAATATTCGTGCTTGGAATTTGCTTAAAAACTCATTCTTTTACTTACCCTTATTCTAACCATATTCTTACTTTCTTTTGATCGCCATCTTTACAGAAGGAAGATTTATATTGGTCTGAATTATACTTCTTTTTTCTCTATCTTATTATCTCGTTGCTTTATTCAAATTTTGACAGATTTCAGAGAGCTGGAGTTACCCTCCACTCAATGACACCGCAGAAGCAGCGAGTCGAGTGCATAAAGCACTTGCTGAGCGTGGATGGAGATTGCGGCCATAGGAAGTGAATTGATAATCATTGCTTCTTGTAAACACATTCAAATCTTATGTTAAAAGGTACACCCGTTACAAATTAGGTTTTCCTGATAGCACGTATAGGAATGACAGCTAAAGGCTGTGGTAGCACGTATATTTTGATTTTTCCCCCTTTTTGGGGTCTTGAGATGTGTAGAATAAAGGCTATCTATAATTGTGCGGCTTGTAAATTTGAGGGGCGAGCTTTTATTTTTCTAAGGTTGGGTTGGTCTTTATTCTGAAAACAATTCATTTGTAATTTAAAGTGGTTTACTAGATTCTTTTCTATTTCCAATTACTTAGAGCAATTCTGTAGTAGATTGTTATGAGATTGTTACCGTACCTTTAAATAAGGTCCCAGATTATTAATAGTTAATATTGACAGGGTGGCAACATAAAATTTCCCAAAAAGATGTTATGTTAATCTCCTCTTTTATCTTACGTTTCGTTTCCTAATTGATTTGAAATTAGTATGATCAGAATTGTGTTTGTCTGGAGTTGTGTTCGAAGACTTTAGCATTGTTTGGTGGACAAGGCAAGCTTGGATCGAGCAACATAACACCCAAGTATGAGATAGTGGATTAATTTAATTAATTTGACTGCCTAGAACTTGTTTAAATGTTTTTGGACTTTGTTTGGTTGATTAGAATTTTATCAAATCGTCCTTCAAGAGCCAGTTTGTACTTGAACTTTAACATGGACTTAAAGTTCACTAGTAATTGGAGTTCAAGGGAGGAGAAAGAACAAAGCCCTCGAGACCGAAAGTCTTGCAATTGTGAAATTTGAAACTTAAAGTAGTACCAATAGAAATAAGGGGGTTTCACTAAAACACCCAAAATGGGAGCATAAATTATAAAAGAACCCAACACCCAAAACACTTCATAAACACATCCAAAATTCATTATTACACACACTCAAAACCCATTTATAAACACACCAAAAAAATATACAGTTGTTGACTTTGGGGTTGATTTTGGGTGTGTTTCTATGTTTAAATAGTGTTTGGGTTTTTTTATAAATACATGTTTAAGAATGGGTTTATTTATAAATTTGTATAGAAGTAATTAGGGTAATTCTATAGCTCTCTGTTTGAATGAGGGAAAATAACTTGAAATTTAGCTAAAAGTCAGGAATTTAATAGGAGAAATTTACAATTCCCTTGTTTGGCAACTTAAGCGCAGAATTTATTAAATGACGCATGGAAAGAAGCGTGGAAATTGTGACATCAAATTCTCAAGTTTAATTTCCACTAAAACATGCATCATTTCACAAATTTCATAGTGCAATTTACAAAATTATGTTATTTACAAAATTCAACATACATAAATCCAAACACTGAAATCTTCAATTGCCAGAAATTGAAATGATAGAATTCTAAATTCCGTTGTTTTAGAATTTTATGTAATTTTAAATTCCTTTATCCAAACGGAGGGTAGGAGTACATTCAACTATTCACAATAGAGGTGCACCTAGTTCTTATTTGAATACAAGCAATACTCTAAACTACAATGAGGAGGAGGGTTTCTCACACACATACTACCAAGATATCACGGGAGTTCGAACTTAAGATAATTGGCCTGCAAGTCAAAACTATTTTCCACTAAGCTAAACCTCGTTGGCACAGTGCACTCAGTTATTAAATGTACTACAATTATACAACCAGCAATATTTGAAAATTGTCAAAACAAATCCTCAAATTTTCTTTTTGTTTATCGGGAAAGTAATATATAAGCATTGAAAATTAGAGAAAATTTAGTAAGGGAAGGAGTAAAAGAATTGAAAATTCGAAAACTACAGAAAGAAACCGCCAACTATTTACTAGTGTTTGGTCTACTTAGCTTGGTGGATGTGCTTTTTTCAAAGACCTAGCATGGTCATACAGCTCCTCTAATGTTTCTGAATACATACTATGTGAAGTAAATTAACTCAAGGAAATCTTAGCATCAAGCTTATAATTACATTATGTGTAAATTATTTTCGTGATATCATTGCTGACTAAATCCCACCACTAATCTGATCCATCACTCAAATCAATCATTATATACTAATTAAGTGCAGATTATACTCATATCATTGTCATACATAAACTTAATGCATAGGTTGTACATAATTAAACACCATCTCTTACATAACACTTGCACTTCCATTCACATTTGCCCATGATGTTGCATAGGTGGAGCAAGTGAGCTTTTGGCAACAACTCCTGTTCCTCTGTACATGCGTTTTATGATGTATACATTAAAACAAAGAACAAAATTAACTAACCCATTAACTATAAATCTCTCCTCTCATATCATATACCTATATAAAACCCATATATCCCAGCATCCCTTTGCACAAATACATTCTATCCCAAGCCCTCTCAATAAGCTGATCACAGAAACCTCTCACATTCTACATTCTAATATGGACTCAAAAAAGAGTGATGAGGTGGCAATTAGTAGGGATGCCAAGGCCAATTATGATGCCAAAGGAAAGGCTGTCGAAGGTGCTCCTCCTCCACCTCCTCCGCCTGTTGTAGTTACCACAAAAGCTACCAAAATCCGGAATATCAGAGGAAAGAAAGGTCTGGCAATTATAGACATCGTGCTGAGGCTCGGCGCCGGTTCAGCTGCTCTTGCTGCTGCTTACATTTCAGGGAATACTGAACAGATTCTTCCCTTCTTCACACAGTTCTTCCAGTTCCATGCTCAGTACAATGATCTTCCAACTTTCACGTATGCAAACTTCTGATTAACAAATATTTTTTGTGTTTAATTAATTTAAGAGCAGTGATGGTTTCATTGAAAAAATATGCAGGTTTTTTGTGGCTGCAAATGCAGTGGCTAGTGGATACATAGCCATCTCCTTGCCCTTCTCGATAGTCTGCATCGTTCGACCTCATGCAATAGGGCCAAGGCTACTACTTGTTTTCCTTGACACAGTAAGCTAATATAAAGCCATTTGACTCACAAATTACATAAATAAATACTAGGGTTTAGGGTTTTTCTATTGCTTGTTGGATAAAGATTGACTTGCTGAAAACATTGCTTGCTTGGTCTTGAGAAAGAGGTAACCAAATGGATACCAAAATTGTTGTTAAATGCTTTGCAGGTTATGGTTGCTCTAGTTATGTCTGCAGCTGGCGCTTCTTCAGCAATTGTATACTTGGCTCATAATGGGAACTTGAACTCCAACTGGCTTGCTATTTGCATGCAATATACTGACTTTTGCCAGGCGCTTACTGGGGCTCTTGTGGCTTCGTTTGTCGCTGCAGTCTTTTTCATGTTGCTGGTGGTGAATTCTACTTTTGCTCTAAAAAGAAAATGAGAAACCACCTCCTTATTGAATATCATGCTTTAGTTATCATGGCCATCACAAGCATATTTCAAGAGAAAGGAGATGGAGAAGAAGAAGAAACCACAATGGTTCTAGTTTCTGGTATCTGTTGTGAATTAGTAAAGTGATGGAGTGGAGGAATTGTGTTGTGCGGGTTTGATTAAATGCCAGGGACATATATATGTTATCTGTGTATATTATTAATTGCATCATAATTAGGATTTATGTAAACTACTAAAGTAATGGAGGAATTGTGTGGGTTTGCTTCAAGGTGTTTTTCTTCATTTTTTTTGTTTATTTTCCCCAGTTTCTGGAGAATATTCCGTGATAAGGCTCCAGTCTGAGTGTTCTTGGCCGGTACCCCAGTAGTCCTCCCTTACATTATTCTTTCTCGTTTTGCAGTTGTTAAAATCTTTTCTCAAAGTGTGCGAAATTGTGTTACCCAACATAATATTGCTACAATCCATCTCAATACCTTCATTTTGCATTAGCTATGTGGCCGAACGCAGTAGTACTAGTTTACATCATAGGAGCGTTTTCAAATTAATTTCGACTGCTTTAAAATGACAGAAGTTAGTAGGATAGGGTTTACCATTACTTGATGACATGAACACTAATATGACACGACCGCTAAAGACGAGAGTATTTGAGTGGAGTTATTCTTGGTTGTTATAAAATCAATTTCCTATTTCTAATGTATTTGTTGTAGGGCCGGTTCTAAGATTTTGATGGTCATATGCGAAACTTAAACTCAGGGTCTCACATAATTTAATACGAAAATACTAAAAAATTAATTTATCATGACTTAATGCCATAAAATAATTGTTTATAATTAAAATTCATAATCAAATTATATTTAATGACAATCACAAATCAAATTCATAAAAGTTTTAATGTTTCAATTTGAGAGAGTTAAATATTAGTATGTTTGGTACAAAAATAAGAATCCATTGCCAAATGATCTTCTCATTAGTTTGACAAAAAGCCAAATTATATTTTCCAATATATTTCACTCTTGATTCGGTTTTGAACGACTCCACCAATTCTCTTTTTTTTTTCCTTTTTTTTTTTTTGAGTGTGGGAGAAAGAAAAGAGAGAGATTGATAATGATTTCTACATAACAGAAAATAAGAGTTTAAGAGGAATAATAAGACATGAATTTTTTTTTGTTTTGTTTTCAGTGGGAGAACCCATATACTGCAATTTTTTTTGGGTAAACTGCCTTTTGCCCTTGAACTATGTCATCATAATTTTCAATTCACCCAATAATTTTTTTTTTCCTTTTCTTTTTTGGTAAATTAAAGATACAAACTATATAAAAATAGCCAATTTCTCCCTTACTGTTAGATTTCAGACTCCATCCAATTTTCCATTAAAAAATGTCACGTGCTTCGCATGTGACAAAGAAAAAAATAATTTCAAAATGGAAAAATGGAAAAATCCACTCGAATTCGTCGCCAATAGCCAGATCCAAGTCAACGCCATGAGGAAAAGAGAAATAGGAGGGAGGTGGAGAGATGAGGTGAGGGGAGAGAAAGAGAAATGGAGAAAGAGACAGAAAGGAGGTCGCACATCCCGGAGACAGTGTGGATGTCGTTGCTGTGAATGGGCAAGGCCGACTTATTCTCGAGGTGGCTGATGGCAGTGGGGTTTTGTATTTTCTCTATTATTTAATTTAATTTTTTTTTTTTTGGTCTGAATTCTATTATTTAATATTTTAAGAGGCTATAATTTTGAGATTGGGGGGCAAATTGATAATTATGACATAGTTCAAAGGGTAAAATGACAGTTTACCCTTTTTTTTGGTTGTGATGATTGGAAAAATTGCTGAACACTCATTTGTGTCAATATCATGTGCGATGGTGCTACTTGCACCACCGTAGTTGGATGGACAACTTTAATATAGAGGTATGGTAGGAGGAATTTTAAGGTACTGTCACACAATCATGTGGTGTTGTCAATTCAATTATTACAATATGGGTGAACGACGACAAGGCTCATATGCCATGGATCCCTGCCTAAGGTATAGTATTAAATATATGTACACATGATATAATGGATTGAGAACAATATGTGGCAATATAATTGTCACTCTGAAGAAATACTCACATGAGGTACTATATATAATATGATGTGGCATTGGATTTTAAAAACACAACTTCAATTATATTTTAAAAATCATCTGATCTATTTAAGCCCCAAAATCTAAATGATTCCCCGAGTATATCCAAAGTCACTAAATGCGATTGCTGCTTGTTTCTTGACCAGTACGCACCGGCATATAGATTCCTTATTTATATGGTCTACTCGAACACAACCAATTAATTGTAAGTAATACTTAATAATCAAGCATTACCTTGTTAGCCCTTTAAAATTAAAATTAAAATACAAACTAAGGAAATGAAAGCTCCCAAATTAAACCATTTTAAAACAAAACAAAACATTAAGGAAGAAGAGTCCCTTTCACTAAATTTTGATATCTTGTTGACCATGCATGTATCTCATTATTGGGATAAAAAATTTATACAAGACCGAATCTAGGATCTCAGATGTATAAATAAATACTCTTAATTACTTGAGCTACAAAATCCCTTAATATCATTGGATAAAGTTACTATCAATAATTAGATCACATAACATAACGTTATCAGAAGAAAAATGCAATAATTATTCATAGCTCTATAAGAAGGCAACAAATCAGTCTCAATGTCCAAGTTTCTCTTTCAACATTTCCATAAAATCCAATACAATAAAGCCTACTTATTCCCCTGCCCAATAACCATAATCCATACAGATTTTCTTTTTCTCGCTCTTATTTCCCGGAAAATCTTCCATGATCTCCTCAGTCTTTAATTCCTTGCTTAATAATTCCCCAAGGCTGCAATTGCGTTCGTTCTCAAAAGACGTTCAAACACTAAACACTAAACCCTAATTTTCTTTGTCATTTGCAAAGCATGCATTCACACCAACCCCTTGATAACGTGATGGCAGCTGAGAAAGCCATTGTCATGAGAAGCTACCAAAACTTCAACAAGGAGATGCTGATCACACTGTGCTTCGCATTCCCGCCTCTCTTCTTAGCCCTCTGGTGCTCCTCCGCGTGGCATCCTGCCGCCGCCAATCTGTCCCGCCAGTTTTACTGGGCACTCATGGCACTCTTCGGTAGTCATCATTTGTACGCTTTCTTGCTCTGCAATGTGCTTATTGTTGCCATCTACTCTATGTCCCCCATTGGGCGATCACCCGATGTCTACGAAGAGTCCGCCATCAACAGTGAGTATTGGTGGAGTATATATCTGGAACCAGAGACAACGCCAGAGGAGGAGGAGGAGGAGGAGGAGGAGGAGGATCAGAACAAACAAATCGCATGGTCTGAGGATATTAGTGCCGTAGTGCCTCTTGTTGATGACAACACAAAAATGAGTTGCAGCGAAGAGCCGACAGGGAGGCATCCAAGTGCTATGGAGGAACTGAACGACAAGGAATTCCAGCAGATAATAGATGATTTCATTTTTAGATCGAAGAAGGATATTCTGGGGGAAGAGATTCAAAGTGAAAAATGTATGAAAGAAAAAGGAGAAGAAGAAGATAATAGGGCAACCACATCAGCATATAGGGCAACCACATCAGCATACATGCATGTCTCTTTTAATATATCGTTAATCAATAAAGTCCTTTATCAAAGGTAATTTCAGTAGGAATTAGTATTTGACTATAATTAAAATCGTTAAATAAGTAGGAGGTAATCTGAGTAGGAAAATTAGGTTTTTGACTATTTTACAAGGTTTATTAGCTGCCAGGACTTATGGATTGGGGCGTATGTATTTTCTTGTTGACTGGCTTTAGGAAGAAGGGAAGGGGTTTGAAACTGAAAAAAGACAGAAAGAAAGGCTCCAAGTCTTTTTTTTCAATTTATGATGTTTAATATGTGTTGATTATTTGCGTTTTCTTACCTGAGATATCCTGACAATGAATTAAAGATTCATCGATTAATTCTTGGGAGTTTCACTAAAACACCCAAAATGGGGGCTTAAATTATAAAAAAACTCAAGCACTATTTAAACATATAAACACACCCAAAACCTATCATTACACACACTCAAAATCCATTTATAAACACACCCAAAAAGTTGACTTTGGGGTTGATTTTGGGTGTGTTTTTATGTTTAAATAGTGCTTGGGTTTTTCTATAAATACATGTCTAGGATTGAGTTTATTTATAAATTTGTATTAATTCTTCTATAGATATACACTACATGGACATAATCTATTACGGGACAAACAATTGGAATCTCACTCAAAATGACACAGAGATGTGTTGAATGGTTTTTTTTATTTTTTATTTTTTATTTTTTTTTAATATTTTTTTATGAACAAAGTTTAGGGGGTGATTGGTTACTCTCATAGCACTTCCACCCATTATATACGTGTTAGGAATGCTCAACCCAAACCTGACCCGTTTAATAAACGTGCCATGTACGGGTTGACCCATTAAGTTCTCGTGCGGATTTCGGATCGTGTCGGGTTGACCCGTTAAGTAGTAAAAACTAAAAGACATTAAAAATATTTAGACAGGTTAAATAGGTATTTTAGCAGGTTAATAGGTATTTTAGCAGGTTGGCGAGTTGACCCGCCATGACCTGTTTTGTTAAACTGGTTAAATAGGTATTTTAACGAGTTGACTCGAAACCCACCTGTTTATTAAACAGGTCATGGTGGGTTGACTCGAAAATAACTCGAATTTTAATCGTGCGGGTTGAACCAGCTAAATTCTTGTCCGGGTTTTGAGTCGTGTAACAGGTCGTGCCCGAAATTGCCACCACTAACTACTATTCAAGTGAATAGTGGCTGCCCTTACAAAAAGCAATGTGTGTTTCCACCCATTGTCATGGCAAGGGCAAATACTATTCACTTTTAGTTTTTTATTTTTTTTATTTACCTAAACAATTAATTTGGAGAATATTTTCAGTTGCCATGTGTTATTTTTCATTATATAAAATTCTCATCTCATATTTCGGATAAATTTTTGGATAAGATTTTTCGATAACATTTTCATGTTAAATTTTTGGATAAGATTTTCGGTTGCCACGTGTCCATATTTATTATAAAATTCACATCTCAAATTTCAGATAAAATTTTTGTATAATATTTTCGGTTGCCACATGTC